AAAAAAAAAAAAAAATACTAAAATGCCTGAAAGTCCTACTTCAACTGACCTCACCAATGCTGCTGTTGCTGGAGGAGACCAGAGAAATGGGTGGAGGTAACATGGGCAGCTGAGAGGGCAGTGAAAGGAGCAGATTGAGAAATGAGCAAGGGACAAGTAGAGCACACCAGCTATACCTGCCTTTCTGCCTCTTGCTTTTTAGACCAAGTTCAAGAGCCCATACACAGAATCACATCATATAACTTTGTTCTTTAACACCTTTAAGAGGTGTTTTTCAAGAGAGTTGTCTAATACAATACAATTCCATGAGCATTGATTGTGAATCCATGCAAAATGCAGTCTTTGACAACTTTAACCTTCTCTCTGTTAATCATAATGTTATTTATATGTCCAGTTGTAAGATTTTCATCATCTTTACAATGAGGTACAATCTAATCTCTGTGTTAATCCTAATGTTATTTGTGGGTCTAGTTGCAAGAAATTCCCTCTTCTTTATATTGAGGTACAATCTAGATTGAAGGTTGTAGTCTTTGATCCTTATCAGTAAGTTTTTAAGTCCTCTTCACTTCCAGCAAGCAAGGTTGTGTCATCTGCATATCACAAGTTGTTGAAGATGCTTCCTCCAATTTTGTTGCCACATTCTTCTCCATATAATCCAGTTTCTGAGATTATTTACTCAGCATTCATATTGAATACATACAGTGAAAGAATACAACCCTGACACATGCCTTTCTTGATTTTAAAGCACTCTCCTCTTGTTCTGTTTGAACGACTGCCTCTTGGACTATGTACAGGTTCTTCATGAGCACAATTCAGTGTTTTGGAATATCCATTTTCCACAATTTTATGTATAGTTTAGTAGGATCTGTACAGTCAAGTGCCTGTGCATAATCAATAAAGCACAAATAAACATCTTTCTGACATCTCTGCTTTCAACCGAGATCTATGTTATGTTGTTAGTTATATCCCTTGTTTCATATCCTCGTCTGAATCCATCTTGAATTTCTGGTAGCTCCCTGTTGATGTACTCCTGTATCCATTTTGAAAAATCTTCAGCAAAATTTTACTTGCATATAATAGTAATGATGTTGTTTGATGATTTCCATATTCTATTGAGTCACCTAACTTTGGAATGGTCACAAATATGAATCTCTTCTAATCAGTGGCCAGCTGGCTGTGTTCCAAATTTCTTGGCATAGATGAGTGAGTGCCTTCAGTTCTGTATCAGTTTGTTGAAAGATTTCATGTGTATTCTATTAATTCCTGGAGTCTTTTTTGTGGGTTGTTTTTTTTTTTTTTTTTTTTGTAATGCCTCGGTGCAGCTTGGACTTTTCCCAGTACTATCTGTTCTTTATCATATGGTACGTCTTGAAATGACTGAACTTCGAACAGTTGGTTTTGGTACAGCAACTGCATATTCTTTTCATCTTCTTTAGATGCTTCCTGTAGCATTCAATAGTTTGCCCATAGGATCCCTCAATATTGCAAGCTGAGAGTTGAACTTTTTCTTTAGTTCTTTCAGCTTGAGAAATGATGAGGATATTCTTCCATTTTGGTTTTCTAACACTAGGTCTTGGCATATGTCATTATAATACTTGGCTTTGTCTTCTCAAGCTACCCTTTGAAATTTTCTTTTCAACCCTTTTACTTCATCATTTCTTCGAATCACTTTAGCTTCTCTATGCAAAAGAGCAAGTTTCAGAGTCTCTTCTGACATCCATTTTTGTCATTTTTTTCTCTCCTGTCTTTTTAGTGACCTTCTGCTTTCTTAGTGTATTATTCCATCCCACAGCTCTTCTGGTCTTGCTTCATTATTGTCCAATACAGCAAATCTGTTCTTAAAATGTTCCCTAAATTCAGGTGGAATAAATTCTAAGTCATATTTTGATTCTCGTGGACTTGTTTTAATTTTCTTCATCTACAGCCTGAATTAGCATATGATCAATTGATTGTTTCACAGTTGGCCCCTGGTCTTAGTTTCACTGATGATGCTGAGCTTCTCCATTGTCTCTTCTTATAGATGTAGTCAGTTTTGTTCTTTTCTATTCCATCTGGTGAAGTTCATGTATATAGTCACATTTTATGTTCATTGGTCTTGCAAAATTCTATCATGCAATCTCCAGCATCAGTTCTATCACCAAGGTCATATTTTCTTCTAACTACTATTCCTTCCTCTTTGCTTCCAAATTTTGCATTCCAATCACTAATAATTATCAATGCATGTTGATTGCATGTTTGATCAAATTCTGATAAAGAAGTTGGTAGAATTCTTCATTTGCATTATCATTGGCTTTTGGCTGGTGCATGCATTTGAATAGTAGTGGTATTAACAGGCTTTCCATATAGGCCTATGGATATTATCTTATCACAGATAGTATTGTACTTTAAGATAGTTCTTCACATGCTCTTTTTTAGTGACAAATATGATGCTATTCCTTTTCAGTTTGTCTTTCCAGGCATAGTATGATTGCTGATTCAAAATGCCCAGTAACAGTCCATTTCACCTCAGTAATGTCTACAATATCAATTTTTAAACATTCCATTTTTTTATGGTTTCCAATTCTGATTATTAATGGATATTTGTTGCTTTTTCTTCTCATTTTGAGTTGTGCCCTATCAGAAAATCAAGGTCCCTAAAGCATTACTCCATCCACATCATTGAGGTCATCTCTACTTTAAAGATGCAGCTTTCTTCAGTCTTCTGAGTGCTTTCCAACAGCAGGGATTCATCTGTATCAAGCAGTATTCCACTGAGTTTTGTGACTAACCTTTCAGATGTGATATGCTTCTCATTCTTCCTAATAATCACCTTTTATCCTGGAAGCTCTGCTAAAACCTGCTCACTGTGGATGACTCTCCTGGTATTTAAAATACTGGTGGCATAGCTTCCAGCATCACAGCAACACACAAACCACCGCAGTAGGACAAACTGACAGATGAGTGATGGAAGCAATCCCTATGGACTGTATACATAGTTATACAATTTAGGGATAGGATACACAGACCAACCTGTAAAGAAGGAAAAGAAAGGAAAAGGGAGGGAAGAGAGAAAGAAAGAGAAATTAATTAAGGAACAAGACTAGAATAAAATTATTTTAAAAACAGTAATGATTTATATATTATTTGCTCAGTACTCTTCCTAGATAAAGCCATAAATCACTGTCAAAAATGCCTAAATTTAAAATATTAAGACTGACAACCAGTAGATTGCTACTGAATCCTTCCATTGAGCACAAAATTTGAAGTAATCTTTGACACCTCATTTTCTTTTACATTCCAGATATTTAATGTCACATTAAAAGATGAAGAAATCCATGATAATAGCAAGAGGTTTGCTGCATTTGTTATTTTTGGTTGTTGTCAGTTGGTTCCAACTTATAGCAATTTCATGTATAACAAACAAAAAACATTTCCTGTTTCTGCACCATCTTCATGATGTTTTGTATGTTTAGGCTACAGTGTCAATCTATATAATTTGGTAGCATAACCACTTGCAAAGTGGTATGACTAAGATGATAATACGTGGAGCAAATGATCAGGTAAAATACAAAAAATGAATTTTGTTGACCTATTATGATTTTGTTGTTGTTGTGAAGTACCGTTGAGTCAGTGCCGACCCAAAGCAACCCTGTATAGGGTTTCCTAGGAGCAGCTGATGAGCTAGAACCACTGACCTTGAAGTTCAAACGACTTTGCAGTCAGGTGCATTAATCCACAATGCCACAGTAAGACGATCGCTGGAGAAGGATATCATGTTTGCTAAGGTGGAGGGTCAGAGAAAAATAAGAAGACCCCCAATTAGATGGATTGGCCAAGTGGCAGCATCAATGGACTCAAATGTGGCAACAATAGTGAGGATCGGGCAATGTTTCGTTCTGCTGTGCATAATAAGGTCACTATGGGTCGGTACCGACTTGATGGCACCTAACAACAACAACAGCAACATTATGATTTAGGAGTCCTAGTGTGGTGCTATAGGCTAAGCACTGGACTGCTAACCACAATATCAGTAGTTCAAACCCAGCAGCCACTGTTTAGAAACCCTATCAAGGGTCGCTATGAGTCACAACCTACCTGAAAGTACTTAACAACATCAACAACATTATGATTAAAGGGGTCATGGTGTTGCTTTGTGGGATAAGCACTGGTCTGCTAACCACAAGGTCTACAGTTCATACCCAACAGTGTTTCCTCAGAAACCCTAAACAGAGTTGCTATGAGTTGGAATCAACTTGACAATACTTAACTAAAACAGCAACATGATTTAGAAGAAAGAAAATTGGTTTGCAGCCAGAATATTTTCATTCAAGCTGTGGCTTTATAATTCACTAATTATATGATCTTTAAAAGAACCCTAAAGATGCAGTGTTAAAGCACTTGGCTGCTAACCAAAGGGTTCTCAATCATTCCTTGGGGGAAAGATGTGACAATCTGTTTCTTTGAAAGCCCTATGAGGAAGTTTTACTTAATCTTAGAAACCCCATCGAGGGTCGCTATGGGTCGGAATCAACTCAACGACACTTAACAGCAGCAACTACAACGGGATTACTATGAGTTGGAGGTGACTCAATGACAGTGGGTTATGTGATCTTATGAATTCTTTACCATAAGATTTCTTGAGAGTAGAGGGGGAATGATAGTAAGTGTCTTATGACTGATCTTATTATGATGGGGATTACATAATATAAAACATGTTAAAATATTTTATTAGGTTCAAAACTATTTGCAAATATGACCCCATTCTTAAATCAAGTCTCCCTCAATCTTCTTCATCTCAATAAAATGTTATAAAGTATTTCCATTGGTTAAGCCCCAAATTTGGAATCATCTTTGATATCTCATTTTCTTTTACATCCCACATTCATTCATCAACAAATTCTGTCAGTTTGTTTCTAACATGAATGCAGAATCTGATTGTAGACTTTTGCCTGGACTTTTTCTTTAGCCCTCTATAACTAGTCCCCTGGTACCTCTCATCACAAAGAAAAGTGAGTCAGTCCTTTATTACAAGAATCAGATTATGGTATTCTTGGTTAGGAGCCCTCTAATGGTTTCCCTCAGTCTTCACTCTTCCTTAGAGTATTGCCAGATGGTTTTGTAATTTAACTTTTGCCATCCAGTCAATTCCTACTCATGGCAACCTTATAGGACAAAGTAGAGTTGCCATATAGGGTTTCTAAAGCGCTATTTTTTTCCTTTAACTTTTTATTGTGATTTGAGTGAAAGTCTATAAAGCAAATTGTTTTTCATTCAACAATTCACACACTTGGTTTCATGACATTGATTATAACTCCTACAATGCAACAGCAATCTTCCTATGTCCTCCCTGTGTTGCTATTTCCATTCATCCTTCTTTCCTATCCTTTCCTGCATTCTGAGTTTCATTTCTTGGCAAAGGGTACCCTTTTGACCTCCATGGTTGATTGTTCTAAGAAGTTAATTCCTCTCTGGTGTCAGTATTCACCTCATAGGACTGTCTGATGTTTGGCTTAAAGTTGACCCATGGGGGTGAGGTCAATTATAAGCTTGAAGGTTGACTAAGGGTCATAGTCTCTGGAGTAGTCTCTATCAGACTAGTAAACCTGATTTTTTTTTAATGATTTTGAATTTTGTTCCATATTTCCCCTACTCTATCCAAAACCCTCTATTGTGATCCTTTGCAGAGTGTTTAGTGATAATCACCAGGCACCATCTAGTTCTGGTCTCAGGGCCTTGAAGACAGGTTCATATGGTCTTTTGGACTGAATTATTTTCATGAGTCTTTGATTTATTATTATTATTATTATCCTTTGTTCTGTGCAGGGAGAGACCAATAGTTGTACCTTAGATGTCAGCTTGTACACTTTTAAGACTCCAGTCTATTCATGAACATAAGATGTAGAATACTATCTTTGTGGACTATGTATGTCAAGGTTGTAATTTTTAAGGAAGTAGATTGCCACATCTTTCTCCCATGGAGAGGCTGGTAGACTTGAACTACTGACCTTTCCATTAGCAGCTGAGCACTTAACCAGTTCCCTGCCATGCTTCTTTTTTGTTACTTGTAACAAAGCACTAAAAGATTTGGCCACTTCTCACTTCTGTGTCACTTACCCTTTTTCCCTTATTTTACTCTCTCCAGCCACCCACTATTCTAAATTCTCCTCAAATATTCCAAGTGGCACCCTCTTCCAGGGGTTTTGTGTATGTTTTTCCTCTGTCTGAAATACTTCACAGATGGGTCAGCAATATTTCCTCCAGAATTTTCTTAGGTCTGTGTCAACTGTCAGCTCCCAGAAAGATTTCTCTGGATACCCAGATGAATAGACATCTTCATGCTATCTCCTTACCTGGCTCTGCATTTCTTTTCTTGAACCTTCCCCACTAGAGTCACTTTAATGAGAACATGCTAGTGTGTATGTATGAATGCATTGCTTCAGATCAAGCATTCTTCTTAGACTATGAAAGTAGGTATGTGCAGAACAAACTTCTCTTGCCCTGTTTATAAAATACTTTATAATTTTTGTTGTTAGTTGCCATCTAGTCAGCTCCAATTCGTGGCACCCTACGGACAGCAGAATGAAATGTCCTGTTCAGTAACCATTAATATACTAGCATTGGACAGAACTAAGCAACATTCTCAACATTGCATCTTGTCTTTTCTCATCGTAAGAAGCTCACTTTTTGTTCATACATCATATGTCCAATGGTCAGGGGGCTTCCTTGTGGATAATCCTCTTCCCGTTTCAGAGGGAATGCTTCCCCCATTTCAGGGGAACACACTTGGATTTTTAGAGTATGAAGCAGATATCCCATAACTTCTTACCTTGAGTAAGAATTTGAAATCAAATAATTAAACTACACACTTAACAGTTAAAGTCTACAAGTAATAGTATTTCTATTTAAATAATTTAAAAAGTGAAGCATACTGAAACCATATTATAGAACTACCTACAAAATCAAAGAGTTTAGCAAAAAGTAACTCTTGATTGCTTAGTTCCTTGGTACTTAATTAGCATTTCTGCCACAGCATTTTTCATAGGTTTATGAATCATGGTAGGTAAAGTAGAGACTAGGCAAAAAAGATAGAAACCTTCAATGAGACAGATAGATAACAATAGCCAAAACATTGGACTCAAACATGAACATGGCATAGGACTGGACAATGATTCATTCTGATATACGTAAAATCTCCTTGAGTTATAGCTGACTCAACGGCAACTAACTACAACAAAAGCATAGATTGCAGAAATACTTGTCTTTGGCTATTTTTTTAAGTGTATAGTGTATTAGTAGTATTTTCATAAATCTTTGAAGTTTCATGAATTTTTAAAATAAGGGAATGTTGCTATCATCCTGTTTGAGCTCAGCAAAGCTGTATACAACAGGATTGCTGTTGCTGTTATGATGTGCCTTCAAATCAGCTCTGACTCATGGTGACCTTGTATAGGGTTTTATCCTAATGTAATTTTGTCCTAAGACAATTCATTTAAAAGAGAATTTTAAATTAACTGCCTGAAATTCATTAAGATTTGGTATTAGGATATGATAAGACTTTGTGAGGTTGTCTATTTATTTACTCATTTGTTAAGTGTTTGTTTATTTTGCTTCTCTTTCTCATTCCATTTCTCTCATCTGTGGGTCTTTCTACTTCCAGTAAGGGTTACACAGATGTTGTGAGGATTCCAGAAGGGGCAACCCACATTAAAGTCCGACAGTTCAAAGCCAAAGACCAGACCAGATTCACTGCCTACTTAGCCCTGAAAAAGAAAAATGGTGAGTACCTTATCAATGGAAAGTACATGATCTCCACTTCAGAAACGATCATTGACATCAACGGAACCGTCATGAACTACAGTGGTTGGAGCAATAGGGATGACTTCTTGCATGGAATGGGTTACTCAGCCACAAAGGAAATTTTAATAGTACAGATTCTTGCAACAGACCCAACTAAAGCATTAGATGTCCGTTACAGTTTTTTTGTTCCCAAGAAGTTGACACAAAAAGTCAACTCTGTCACCAACCATGGCAGCAATAAAGTGGGATCACACACATCACAGCTGCAGTGGGTGACAGGCCCATGGCTCGCCTGTTCTAGGACCTGTGACACAGGCTGGCACACCAGGACGGTGCAGTGCCAGGACGGAAACCGAAAGTTAGCCAAGGGATGTCTTCTCTCTCAGAGGCCTTCTGCATTTAAACAATGTTTGCTAAAGAAATGTTAGCCTGCATTTACAGCTTGTGCACAATGATAACTGGATAATCAATCACTGATATTGCCGTGATGAACAAAAAGGTCTACCCAAAGCACAGAACATCTTGCTTCAGTGTCAGTATCAACAAGAGTCGAATTATGGGCAGAATCTGCTCTCTGCGACCAAATGAGGATGGACACTACTTCATGTGACAATGTTGACCTTGTATACAATGAGACTTGAGAGTTATGGAGTCCTCTGAACCTACACAAATGAATAAATACTGATGAATGTAGAATCAGGAGATATTGGAAGATGGCAGAACAGTCTCCCCTTGTCACCTACCTCTTACAGAATGTCTTTATAGACATCATGACCATTTTCACCCCTGATACACAGTGGCTCATTTTTACTGTTTGTAAATACATTCTCCCCTGTTATGTCACTTTATATCACTTGGTTCTATTAAAATAGTATATTTCTATAAAAAAGTGTTTGACCAAAGTAGGTCTGCAGCTATTTCAACTTTAGTTTCCAGAAAGAGCTGTGGATGTTTTACTGGAAATTAAGAACTTGCTGCTGTTTTAACAAGGCTTAGTACACTTTCCGACTATGGTGGTGGTGGTAGTTGTGAGCCATGGAGTTGGTTCCAACTCATAGTGTTCCTGTTTAGTATTTCTGAGGCTGTAATCTTTTAAGGGAGTAGAAAGCCTCATCTTTTTCCCATGGAATGGCTGGTAGTTTTGAACTGCTGACTTTTAGGTTAGCAGCCCAACTTGTAACCACTATGCTACCAGAGCACCTTTTTCTGACTCTAGGAGAAAAACTTTTAGTGAAACATCATATTTGACAACAAGTATCTTCTGAGAAATTGTCAGTAGAAAGAGGATCTCAGCATATCTAAATATTTAAACCCATTGAGTGCCTGCATTTTTCAGGCAGACAGCCAAATTAATGCATAATTAAGATATAGACATAGTGTTGTGGGTGTGTATGTTTTCAACACTTAAGAGTATACAAAGTAGTTTTCTTGTGTTAGCATTTAAAATAAGAAAACAGCAACATAGTTCACTGTGTTTTCAATTTCTATTTTCACACCTGCTTTCTCTTTCTAGATTCCCATGTGATATCTCACAATGTGTAATATATGTACAAAACACACAGCAAAGAATTCTCTATCATATTCAACACCTTCAACACTGGTATACCTCTTACCAGCAAGCCTTTAAAATATGTTTGCTTTTGCTTGCTTTGTTCAAAGGTTCTGCAAGACTTACAATTTTTTGTACTTTTTGTTGACTTAGTTTAATAGGAATATTAAAGGTCACTTGATAGCCATATCTAGAAGTGGTTATTATTAATATTAACAAGACTGTTTCCACATCATAGGCAATAATTCCTTTTAAAGTTTTTTGTTAAAAAACTAAGCAATTATATTGATATTGTACTATTTTTTCCCCCAGTTGCAAAGCACTTGGTTGGACCAGTAAGTGTTTAAGTGCCAAATGTGATGGTTTTCCAGAAGTTTGTTACTTTTACTTCCGTAATCTGTTTAGGTAAATTATAAAATTGAATAGACATGAAATTTTGTTTACAATCATCTACATAAAAATCTCTATTTAGACAGTAAACTGAATCCCCTCATCCTGTATTTCAGGAAATTTAAAGTATTTCATTTGGTTGTTGTTGTTGGTGGTGGTGGTGGTTTTCCTTGTGAAATACCACAAAGTCAATTATTTTTATAAAATTTTATAAAAATCATACCAAAGATGCCTATTGTTAAAATTTTACATTTAAGAATATTAGGGAACCATTGTTTAAGTTACATTAAGCTCTGATAGTTAATTTTATTATAAGATGTTTTAATATAAAAAATTTAGGTAATTGAGTTTTCCACATTGCATTTTAATTTAGTGAGTCAAGAGAACTGATGTCTCACTGTTTTAGATATTTTCTTAAAATATTATTTTGTAAATAACTGTTTTATAAAACTAATCATTTTCATCAGCTGTCTTTGCTTAAATGTGACCATTTTTAAAAATAAATTATCAGAGAAATGAGGCCTATCCATGAATGAAAACCTATATTTTATGAGAAGTCACCAGTCACCAAGGGCAAGAAGCAAAAGTAATCAAATCAGTTAGAAAAGAACCATACAAACAAAACAAACAAATCACCTCAACCATTTGGCTATGCAAACAATATTCATTGAGGGGTCAATATTCAGTTTTATCTATTTTGAAAAGAATCCTAATCCAATATTCAAATGTGAAAACAATGTAATGGCTGTAAAAATCATAATTGGACACTGACATTTTTTATATCCTTTATTTCTCTATGCTAGCTCTGGTAGCGTAGTGGTTACGAATCGGGCTGCGAACCTTAAGGTCAGCGGTTCGAAACTACCAGCCGCTCCGCAGGAGAAAGATGAGGCTTTCTACTCCCGTAAAGATTTACACCCTCGGAAACCCTGTACAGGGTCGCTATGGGTCGGACCCGACTCGATGGCACATAACAACAACAACAACAAAGTGATCATTTATAAATGTCTAAAATTATCAATCTTTCATATTATTTTTTCTCTAAAAATAAAGGGTTATCACTTTTCATTGAAATAATCTCAGAGAATTTAGATCAAACAAATCACTATCCCATGCTCTTATGGAGTTTTCTATAGAATTTTTTTATTACTATCAATAGATTGATTAATGTATGTCTAAACAAAAGTGATATAGACTGAGAACTGAAATTTAGAAAAATGGAGATATTCAAAAGATCTTTAAAAATTGACAAATGAAGGAAAAATTCTCCATAACTCAATATAATCCAACTCAGTTTGACTTTGGACTAAGTCTTTTTTCTTTCCATAACTGCTTCTTGAATTAAAAAAAAAAAAAATCTAAAATTCATAATCCCAGGGGTTCTTCTTCAAAACGTTTTCTGAAAATGCAAAGGTTGGTAAGAATCTAATTCCATGTACAAAAATTAATTCTCTAGAGTAAATTTCACTCAGTAAAAAGAAAGCCCATCATACAATAGCATATATTTCTTCGAGAATAGAAGAACTCAATTTAGTTTATTCAGTAAATTCAGCTTCCTTTGCCTTCCTGTGGAAACAGTTTTATCCCATTAAACTAAGAATTAAGGGATTAATCACAAACAAAATTTTACAAAGTTGCAGCACTGAAAAAATAATAATTTATTGTTTTTGCAACTGGTATGTGAATTTGTGTGATGAAATTATTTATTCTTATTTAACAAAAATACGTGCAAATTCTTTTATATTTAAAGTGTTTTGCTGTTGTCCTCTTTAATTTATGCTTCATGTTTGTGTATAAAGTACACTTTGTGAGTTTACATAATATACAGCACTGGTTGCTTTAGTTTTTTGTTTTTTGTTTTTACAGAAAGCTTTCTGTGTGAAACAGATGTATATGTATGTATTCCACATGTATCCTCATTTAGATACTATTATTTTCCTATCTAAGGAAATTTTGAATTTAATCTTTTATGACCAGCTGTGGCTATGATTACTCAGTTCCATTAACACAAGTTTTCTAAATCATAGATAAGGGAACAAAGCAAAACCAAAAACACTTATTCAAGCAATTAAAGGTCAAATTTTAAGCTTGGGTACATAGATAGCCTAGAAACTTCCCATAGAAGTCAAGACAAAGTTAGGAATCAGTTCCATTCACTTCACTGATAAACTTGGACCATGAGCTGTTTACTGAAAGTTGTGTTCCCATAACCTCTTAGTGATATAAATGATAAAGAAGCCGATCTTTTTTCTTCCTGCTTTAGAAACATTCATTAAAATTGATATTATTTAGTCTTTAGTGTATATAGAACTCTGTAGAGGACCTCAAATATTTTGGATTTATATGATTCAGATGCTAAAAGTAGTCAAAACTGTTTCAATAAATATCAAGTATTCATTGATAGATTTACTAACGAATCTCCAGCAGTGGTAATAGGATATGAGGCAGGCAAGAGAATTTCAGGTGAGATCAGTTGGTCTCTGACTACAGTGTCTTAGTCTGGCTGGTCATAGAAATAAGGCAATTATGGAATCACAGCACAATTGACCGGTTCAGTTTCTGGATCTGGTGTTTCCTCATTGACTGCATCCTTGTTCACAAAGCCATTGTGATGGTAGATGAAGGCAACAGCCACATTTATAAGTCCAGGACTTGGACTATGATTTAAAGTTCACCTTTTGTGAAATGACTGAATTTAATAATGAGGAAATTTTTCTAATACCCTATGAATAAGTATGAAGTTTCAGTGGCATTATTGGGAAATATTACTAGTCCAGATATTATTAAACTTTAAGCCATAAAACTTCTTTGTACTTTAAATTTTTCAAAGTTACAAAATGAAGGAAATAACCATCTAAAGATGATTCTCATGAGAGCCAAATTCAAAGTAGTTTGCCTTTTAGACACATGAAAATAAACTAGTATGCTTTTTCTATTATCTTTCTAATTTGCTAACAACTTGTTACTTTAGATTGTCTAAAAGGTAATTCAATTTAACTGAGTAGTCCACTAAAAGAAATATCTTCCTAATAGCCCTGTTAGTATTAAATACAGAAATGACTTACAAAGTCTTATCATCATGAAATAGGTCACTCTATAACAGTAAGTGCATTCTATTCAATTAATGCCTGATAACATTGGAATACAAAACCATGCACTAGTCAACCCAAAACAGAGAATCCAGACAGTGTTTAGATCAGCAGATAATTCATTCTGGCAATTGTCTTTTCTGGTGCTTTGCAGGTTTCTTCAACAAGATAAAGGGATGTGTGATTAGATGTTGATTTTAAAAGAAACTAGGATTGAAACATATAAACTAGTTAGCCCATTTTAGCTGTACCCTAGTAATAACCAAACACTTAAGCAATCGTTTTGCTATTGGTGGTCCTTATCTCATGGCACACCAACTATCCATCTGTACTGCTAGAAGGCAAATGAAAAACAAAGAGTGGCCTTAACGCACTGCCACATCACAAAGTCTAACACTGTGAGGAAAACTGTGATTTGTAAATAAAGTAAGTCTTGTGTTGTTTTTTTTT